AACTTTTAAATGAATCTGTGTCCTCTGACTGTGCTTCACAAAACACTAGTGGGACTATATAGGGCATGAATATTAACAAAAGTAAAAACTCGATTTTCTCCACTAATGAAACAAAAGTGACCCCAAACAGCAATTAACTAAAACGTTATTTCTGTTTGACATTATAGCACATTATATATGCAAGTGGGCAGCAGAGCTCAGGAATGAAGAGCCTGGGCCTCGAAGTCAGCATGATCTGAATGTGGCTCTAACTCGGGCTTGGGGAAGTTACTGAAGCAAAGAGGTTATGTTTCTCTGCCTGCAAATGGGGAGAGCAGCAGTTCCTGCCACAGAGGGCTGCCGTAAGGATAGATTAAGAAGTGGTACAATGTGAACTGCAGAGCATGCTGGAAGCAGGCAGCCTTTTCTAGGCTGCTTAGGCAAATGGCTCCAATGCTTCTGTGTTCTCTGAATGAATTAAGGCACAGAGCTTAGGAAGAGATGCCCCACAGAAATCAGGCAGAGAGGATTTTGCTAAGAAAAATGCACATGCATCATGCATATAATTCTGATCATTCTATTATAATAATTACTACTGATATACTGACTCAGAGAAAAACTTGTTATACTGTTAGAATCCCTCGTTTTTAGAATGCTAATGCCTGGATTTCAGTTTTAACATTTCTATTCTTTAATCTTTACAAATGAGGTCATGTAGAGAAAAGGAAATGCTTATATACTGTTGCTGGAAATGTAAATTAGTATAGCCTCTATGGAAAACAGTATGGAGGCTCCTTAAAGAACTACAAGTAGAGCTACCATTCAATCCAGCAATCCCACTATTGGGCATCTACCCAAAGGAAAAGAAATCATCATATAAAAAAGATACCTGCACTCAAATGTTTATCCCAGCACTATTCACAATAGTAAAGATATGGAATCAATGTAAGTGTATATCAGTGGATGACTGGATAAAAAAGTTGTGGTATATATACACAATGAAATATTATTCAGCTATAAAAAAAGAATGGAATCATGTCTTTTGCAGCAACAGGGATGGAACTGGAGGCCACTATCTTAAGTGAAGCAACACTGAAACAGAAAATCAAATACCACATGTTCTCACTTATAAGCAGGAGCTAAATAATGTATACCCAGGGACACAGAATGTGGAATAACAGATACTGGAGACCTGGAAGAGTGGGAGGGGAATAACGGATGAGAAATACTGGGTACAATGTATATTATTTGTGGTGATGACTTACATTGTAAGTCCAGACTTTACCACTATGCAATATATCTATGTATCAAAATTGCAACTGTAGCCCCTACATTTATATAATAATAAATTTTATAATCATATAAATATTTGCATATATGTTTATGATATACACAAATTTATTTATATAGAAAAGCTAACCTTGGTTCTCTAGCTTTTGTCAAGTTGCCTCAAGATACACACACACACACACACACACACTCTCTCTCTCTCTCTCACATATGAAATTAAGTTGCCTCGATTTCTTATACAGGAAATTGATTTCACATATATATATATATATATATATCATATATATATATATGATTTATATATATATATATAAATCATATATATATATATGATATATATATATATATAAATCATATATATATATATATATGATATATATATATATGAAATCAAGGCAACTTGACATAAGCTAGAGAAGCAAGGTTAGCTAAATAGGATGAAGTTTTAGGTGGGGCAAGATACCCCATGATTCTCTGGGTCGTCGAAGCATGGTTTATATATCTGACCTTTGGAAACAGAGATGCTTTTATCAGGAACACTGCTTCTCCCAGGATCTTCATGTGTGCTGTGATAACTTCTCATTCACTTACCTGTCTGCCCACCCAGTCACGGAGTACCTACTATGTGTCAGGTTTGTGTGGCAGACGCTAAAGTATAACGTTAGAGTTCTGTTATTCAAATAGAACTCAAATAGAGTTCAAATATTAAGACGAATTTGGTGCTCACTGTACAATAAAATGACAAGATAAAGACTAGAGTTAAATTCTGAAGTTTTTAATCATTTGTGGGGGAGGTGTGTGTGGGGGTGGGCCTGGGCACAATGCTTAATCTAATAAGCAATCCGAGTCATGGAGCACAGCGCCGCAGCTCTGCAAAGCACACCTCCACTACTGCTATTTATTTAATGAATACTCCTGGGCACTCTTTAAATTGAAAGATGGTTCATTAGATTTGTGCATCTGCCCTTCTCAGCAATCTGCTGTGTTTCTGATGAAGGCAGGAAAAAACATGTACATATCATTTTCGGGTATGTTATGAGTAACGCAGCTTCCAATGATTACAAAGTCATAAAGGGCTCAGGCTGCCTAATTTCAGGAAAACAATTTGTCTGAATCATTCTCTTTCCATTCCTATCTCATTCTAATCTCACTTATCTTGGAAATTTTAAATACTAGCCCTTTAAAGGAAAAATACTAATCACCCAATACATTATCTGTAAGCCATAAAAATAAGCACATTTTAAAAAAAAAAAAAAAAAAAAAAAAAAAAAAACCCTTTCAAAAATGGCCAAAAAATTCACCCTTTTTATCCCAATCAAGTTAACCACTAAGTCTTGCGGGTCCTGATCCTGCACTATACATCTACCTAGTGTAATCTGTCCTCGGGGCTGGTTACTGCAGTGGGCTGTACATGTGTGTGCACATGCATGCGTGTGTATATAAACTCCTGGAAGGCAAAAACAAACTAAAAAAAAATCTTTTGTTTCTGTCTCAGTATGTGCTATACAGAAGATGCTAATAAAAGTGCTGAACTAGGCTGGGTGTGGTGGCTCACACCTGTAATCCCAGCACTTTGAGAGGCAGAGGCAGGATGATCACTTGAGGTCAGGAGTTCAACCAGCCTGGCCAACATGGCAAAACCCTCTACTAAATACAAAAAATTAGCCAGGCGTGGTGGCACATGCCTGTAATCCCAGCTACTCGGGAGGCTGTGGTGGCAGGATCGCTTGAACCTAGGAGGTGGAGGCTGCAGTGAGTCAAGGTCATGCTATTGCACTCCAGCCTGGGCAACAGAGTAGAGACTCTTTCTGCTGCCAAACAAAAAAAAAGTTCTGAACTACATAATTGAAGGTAGGTTTCCCTATACAGGGCTTTAAACTATTAAAACATAGACTCACTCATTTGCCAGCCCCTAGCAAACACCTATTTAATGCCTATTAGGTTTGGTACCATGCAGGACCCACGAATGAAGACAAGGACACAAACACAAATATAAAAATGTCCCTGCCCTCATGGAGCTTATGCTCAGTGAGGTGAGGCGCTGTCCTCATCACCCCTTATCAACGGCCAAGAGTGACAATCCTATGGATATGCCCTCTGAAGGGGGCAGATTCTCATACTATCCCTTGAACAGAAACAGCTGTATTCTTGAGAGGAGATTCTGAAAGTTTCTAATACTCTCTTATGGAGACAGCTAATACACACACACAAATTAATGTTATATATAGTGGATTTCTCTCTGAAATCACATTTTGAGCAAAGAAACCTTGGCTTCTTGGTTCATCGTACACTACCTCAAAGGCTTAGTTTCACCTCCTGCCGAGTGGAGGGAGGTAACAAGTCTCTGAGGCTGAGTAGCCTTGGTCCCTTCCTCCCATCTCCTATGTAATTTCACAAATCATAATAAAATGTAGGGCTGGGATTCAGAGTTTATTTCAAGTAGGTTGGAAACTCAAGTGTCAAGTGGTGGGGAAGGTGTATAAGACTAAAACATAGTTTTGTTACATCAACCTAGGAAAAATACATGAATTGTAAGAGGCTTTGGGTTAAGAGGTGCTCTGTATGGAACGCTGACTGAGTCATAGTCAAAGCGTGGCACTAAGCACTGCTGATGTGCAAGTCTGCGCTGAGTAACAGAAAAGATGAAGCAGTCCTTGCCTTCAAGATGCTGAGCAACATACACTAATATGTACTTAAAAGACAGTGATGTAATTGCCAGAGAGGTAAGAAGAAGATAAAACAGCAGCCCATAGGAGACAGTGACCAACTCTGCTTCTCCAAGTAGCTGATATCAGGATGATAAAGAGAGAATCAATCATTCAACACACATCTGACTGCCTACGTTGTACTGTAAATACTACAATACTGTTATTGAAAGTGTATAAATAGACAGATAAATATGTATATTCCAGCATCCCAATGTAGTTATGATTGGCCAGCTAAAAAGCAAAAATTGAGAGTTTCCACAGATCCTGCTTCCCCCAAAATGAGTGTGGCATGTACCGATTTCCTGGAAGATGCAGCAACAAAACCTCCCACTTCCTTCCTAACAGACAAGATGACAACTGTGACAAAATGCTACACTCACTGATGCTGCATCATTTTAATGCTGTCATAACAAAGAAAACCACACAGCCCCAAGCAGCTTCGAAAAGGATAGAAAATCCCTAAGCAGATCTCAACAGTGTCAGGCTCTTCACCGGCCCTGTCAGACGCAGCCTCAGGCCTCAAAGGACTGATACTTTTAGTCAGAGTTTTCAGCATTTTGTGTGGAATAAACGTTTTCTTCTGAAATTGGCAAAACAACTGGCTGGCTTTTGAGAACCCAACATCCTGCCAGCCCTGTCATGGTTTGATACTGCCAGACATCTAGAAGCCCTATACATTGATTTCCTTTTGTCCTTCAGACACGTGGGAAAAACTCATCCATAACATTTGGACAGTCTTCAAGAAGTCTCCACAGCTTCTGTGGGCAGGTGTTCATTTCTACATTGAACAAATGACTAACACGAGATTGCGTTTCATCTCCTGGTTGTATGAGGAGCATTTACCATAAAGCATAATGAGCAAAGGTTACTACATCTTATTCTTCTCAGTAACATCTATAGCCCAACCCAAGACATGTACCCACTCCACTCAGAGCCCATGTCAGCCTGTGTGTGCTGGGGCCTCTGTAGGGCACTGCTGACTCTGCTGCACTGGGACAGTCTTGGCATCGGATTGAGACCTACCAGCAAAGTGAAGCTGTGTTCTGGCAGCATCCCATACTGTTGGACAAGCCTCTCTCGGGTCACGCTGGGGAGCTCCGGGAGCGTCTCCCGGATGTGGTCAATGTCGATCACTTGCCGTGGGTCTGTACCTATGGGCAGAGATGTGGCGTCGTAGAGCAGGAGGGGAGGCAGGTTAGGTTCCGGCATGAACCTAGGCAAACAAAGGAGAAGGGACCTCAATCCGGAGTCCTTGGATTAATGAGAAAACAAAACTTACCCCAGTAATATGAATGTTTCTGTGTGCAGATGCCACGTTACTTGCAAGTATTTTCAAATGTCCTATTATGTCAATCCTGTTTCCCAGGGAAGCCTTTGCACAAGTGTCAAAACCTCCAAACCCACCCTTCTCCATGCTTATCAATAAGATGAGTGAAAGAAGCACAACACAGGCTTGAAGGCACACTGGGATGTGTAACTGTGGACACTTCATTCCACAGTTCATCAGGAATTGTGTCCACAGTTGTGTGTTGCTTCATGACAGGGATATGTTCTTAGAGATGTGTCGTTAGGTGACGTCATCATGGGAACATCACAGAGTGCACTCCCACGAACCTGGATGGTGAGCCAACTACACACAGGCCATGTGGAACAGCCTCCTGCTCCTAGGCTACTGAGTGTCCCGAATCCCGTAGACAACTGTAACACAGTGGCAATGGTGTACCTAAGCATGTCTGAATGAGAAAGGGACAGTAAAAACGCCATATTAGAATCTTATGGGACCACTGTAGCGTACGTGATCCACTGTTGACAGAAACATTCATATGTATGCATGACTATGTCTTCGTAAAGACACAGGCTGGAAAAAATAGGACCAAATGAGAACAATTTCCTTATCAGAATGAAAGATGACTTTCCCTCCATTTCCACATTTCTACTATTTTTAGCAGCATTTACATAATAAATAAAAAAATAGAAAGAAAAAAATATACCCTTGAGAAATAGAAGAAACGAATGGATTTTGCCTAAATAAAATGTGGCAGCTGGAGGAGACGGAGGGAGGGAGGGATGAAGAGGTGGTGCACAGGGCACAGTGAGGCAGGGGAACTTCTTGGTGTGCCACGATGGTGGATGCATGTCACTGTGCCTATGTCAAAACCCACGCAATGTACCACACAAACAGTGAAGCTTAGTGTAAACCATGGACTCTAGCCAATAAGGAGGTGTGCACATCGGTTCATCATTGTAACAAATGAGCATCTTGCATTACTGTGGTAAATAACAGGAGACTCTGGGGAGAGAGCAGGGAGGGGGAGTACATGAGAACTCTGGACTTTCCATTCAATTTTACTGTAAAGCTAAAACTGCTCTACAAAATGAAGGGAATTAATGTGGAAGCTGCACCAGCGCATGTAATCGTTTGAAACAAGATGTCCCTCCCTATTCTCATTCAGCACTAATGGTTTCTCTCTGCCCATTTTTGTCAAAGAGCTTACGTAGAAAAACAGGGTATGGAGAAGTGGTGGTTCGGAGGGAATGGATTCGAAGTGTATGCAACCCGTGGCCTCACTGCCAGATCTCTTTTGTGAGTTACTCTGGTTTCTGAAGGCAAGAAAAAAAACCCAGGGAAAGCTTCCTGCAGCTCACTATCATTTGCAGCATCATCCTGAGGCCACAGGCGGATGGAAAGCCGGACTCCACACTCAGGGGAAGGAACACCAACAGGGCAGTGAGCAACACTCAGGAATAAAGTGGCTTCCTGGGAGAACAAACTCACCTGGGAAGCTCACTGTTAATTAAAATAATTTTGACTCTAGCAGACACACAATGGCAGTTCTAGGGGTGCGGTTCATGTTAAGGGTTTATGAGTTTCTTCTTTCCCACATAAGCAGGCTAATTTTGATCCTCATCGGTAACAACAGCTACATTTGCATCTTTCTGCCCTTCACCAAGGAAAGGTGGGCTGGTCTCAACAACTTTGCTGCTTAAAACTTCAACCTGCCAACCTCGATGAGAAAAAAAAATGAAAGGTTCAATTTATCTTAAGCCTGTTCTTATTATTTGCATTATTTTGTGGGTCTCGTATTAAGTAGTTCGACTTAATTTATCAATGAAATAGCATCACGTGAGATTCAAGGGAACTACCATCAGCATACGCTATCAACATCTCTTTTCTCATTTTTTCTCAAGGAGCTTCATTCAGTGTATTACTCAATCAGTTACTGAACAGAAGTCTAACACAGCCTAGGCCCCAACCTCAACTGCCTTCTTCTCAGCTCAACTATGACAACTCTGACACAGAAGTGGATGAACAAGTTCTTCCAAAAGCTGAACCAGTCAAACAAGGCATCTGAGGCTACCAAATCAAGAAACTAGTACTTCTCTCAGTGTGCATGTCAAAGAGGAAGTCTAGATGTCCCATCATGTAACAACAACAACAAAAGGTGCTTCCTAAAAATTGTTCAGTATCACTATGTTGAACTTCAAATGAATTTGAAATACCCCCAGCCCCCGATATGTATTGGTATTTTGCCATAAGGAGTAACTACCTGTAGTCCTGTTTTGCTTCTTTGTCTCTCATTGACACGGTGCACCTAGAATAAAGAAGAAAACATTAAACACTGCAAGTAGCATTGGCTAGCCTATATGCTGGGAAGGGCTTCCCTACCAATAAAGGACACAGGCAAAATCAAATTCTGTGGCCTTCCATGGGAAAACCTGAAATGGATACATTCAAAAAAGAATAAAGAAAGCAAAATGTATACAATAATTTTTTTAAAAAGAAATAACTTCAATGTATCCAGCTTTCAGCTAGCTCAAACTCGGCTTTAGAGCTTTTTTTCAGTATTCTGCTTAAAGTACACAATCTTCAAAATTCTGAGTCAGAAAATTAAGGTCCAAGTTATCTAAACAAAAACAAGGCATCTCTACAACCAGGTCTTCATTCTGTTCCATCTCTAGCTTCAGCTAGGAGAGGTCGGGCAGATTAATAAGGAAGTAAAGATTCTTGCCACAAGGCAGGTAAGCTGGAAGCAGAGAAGGGAAGGCCTACAACTAAGCCCTGGGGCACAGTCTGGGTCACTTCACGTCTCCTAGCAGCCCTGGGGCATTTTATATCCCTGTAGGGTACAGGGCTTTTGTAATTTTACTAATGAGGAAACCTAAGTGCCTCCTTCAAGGCCATATGGCTGGTCAGCGGCTGAGCCCAGCCCTCTCGCATCCTGCCTGGCTGGGGCCAGGATGCTCATCAATGCGAACTCACCCTAGCTTCTCATGAAATGAGCGCGTTTCGTTCAGAATTTCACCTCCATTCTCAAGTTCATTGATTTGCCTCTGAATTTCATAGTCTAGGAAAAACACACTAATTTAGCATCATATTTTGATTATACCTTTCATCCAGTCAAGCAGTAATTAGAAACAACCTTTCTCAATCTTTAAGTAAAAAAAAAAAATAATCAAGAAGACTGTTCATAATAATCCTTCCCTTATACACGATGTTTCCTTCTCACTGCTATCATAGAATATTGGTGCTGGAAAGGGCCTTAGGAAGGCAGGCTCCCTCCGTGTTGAGACAACTCAGGCATCAACCGATGCAGACGACGCAACTTGGCAGAAGTGGGGCTAGGCCCAATACCCAGGTCTGGGATTGCTGCCTACCAATGGTCCTTACCCTAGGAGCCCAGGATGGGGTTCAAAGGCTCTGGTACCCCCAAAATTATATACAAAGTGTGGGCTGTGTGCATATGTGCAGGTTTTGGAGAGAGGGTCCAGCATTTGCATTATCTTTTCAGAGAGACCCACAGCCCCAAATGATTAAGAGCCACTAATCCATGCCGTGCTTCCTCGCCATCAAATCAGTGAATGAGTGAAGCTGTGGGAATCGAAACACAACCACAGCTGCTAAGCCGTTGCTGCT